GGAAGTAGGATTGCCCAACCTTCCTTCCGAGGAGTGGCTGATGGGTTTGAACCGCCAGCCTTCTGGTGAGCAGTCAAGTGCCTTAGCCACTATGCTGGAGAGATATTATCAAGGTCATATTTTGGCTCTTGTGGACTTGTTTTAATTGTCTTCAACTTCATCCTGAACTTGCATATCAGCAGTTGGTGATCTGTTCCACAATCAGCTCCTGGCCGTGTTTTGGCTGAACATATTGAACTTCTCCATTGCCTTTTGCCACAGATATGGTCAATCTGATTCCTGTCTATTCCGTCTTGTGAAGTCTATGTGTATAGTCATTGCTTATGTTGTTGAAAAAAGGTATTTGCAATGAATAAGTCGTTTGTCTTGCAAAATTCTATTACGTGATCTCCATTTTTATTTCTATCGTCAAGGCCATGTTTTCCGACTACCAGTAGCTCTACTTTGTTTCCAGTTTTTGTATTTCAGTCACCAGTGATAATCAACACATCATGATTGCATGTTCAGTCAACTTCAGACTGCACAAGTTGGTAGAAATCTGTAATTGCCTTATCTTTGGCTTTGGTGGTTGGTGCGTAAATTTGAATAATAGTAGTATTAACTGGTCTTCCTTTTCGGTGAATGGGCATTCTATCACTGACAGTGTTGTACTTCAGCACAGATCTTGAAACAGTCTTTGTGATGATGAATGCCACACCATTTCTCTTTAATTTGTCATTCCCGGCATAGTAGATCATATGGTTGTCTGATTCAGAATGGCCAAAACTAGTCCATTTCAGCTCACTAATGCCTAGGATATAGATCTTCATGTGTTCCATTTAATTTTTGACAACTTACAATTTTTCTAGATTCATACTTCATACATTCCATGTTCCAATTATTAATGGATATTTGCAGCTGCTTCTACTCATTTTGAGTCATGACACATCAGCCAACAGAGGTCCTGAAAGCTTTATTCTATCCATATCATTAAAGTCGTCTCTACTCTGAGGAGTCAGCTCTTCCTCAGTCAAATTTTGTATGCCTTCCAACCTGATGGGCTCATCTTCTGGCGCTATATCAGACAGTGTTTCAAGGCTATTCATAAAGTTTTCCAGTAATATATGAGACAGTGTTTCTCTGCTATTCATAAGATTTTCACTGGCCAATTCTTTGAAAAGTGGATGACCTCTTCTTCTTTGGAGTCTTTCTTAGCCAGGAGGTTCTGCTGAAACCTGCCCACTGTAGGTAACCCTGCGGGCATTTTACAACACAGTGGCATAGCCTCCAGCCTCATAGCATCACTTAAGCCACCACAGGACGACAAATTGACAGACAAATTCATCTCTCTTAGTTGTTCCTAATCCCTCTGCACCTGCCTACTTTGGGCAATGGCCTTAAAATAGAGCTGCCCACAAGCAAAAAGCAGCCCCCAAGCCCCGGCTGGCCTACCTCGGGCCCTGGACTTAAAATAGATCCACACCCCAGTGAAGAGCAGTCTCCAGGCCCCGGGCCCACCTACCTCAGGCCCCAGCCTTAATATAGAGCCACACTCAAGGGAAAAGCAGCCTCCAAGCCCCAGGCCTTCCTACCTTAGACCTAGGCCTTAGAATAGAGCCATCCCCAAGTGAAAAGCAGCCTCCACACCCTGAGCCCACCTACCTCAGGCCCTGGCATTAATATAGAGCCACTCCCAAGTGAAAAGCAGTCCGCAAGCCCCAAGCCCACCATTGTTGTTGTTGTTGTTATGTGCCATCAAGTCAGACCTGACTCATAGCGATCCCTCCTTGGGTTTTCCGAGGCAGTATCACTACGAAAGTATATTGCCTTATCTTCCT